TCAAGCTGAGTTATAAATAGTATTCATGAACTTCAGTCTATATAGTTGTGTGTAGTCAAGGGCCACTAACCCTATTGATTACATGAGAGATAGAAATAGAGGTAAAGAATTCGTGAGAAGCGGGATTTCTTACATGATCACAGTAGATACAAGAATCATATTCATTGTCATTTTCTCTTTAAATTGTTGTTATCTGACCTCTTCAAGCTTCTGTTTACAAATTTGAACAGAAGCTAATCTTTTCCCTGTTTTATTGAGATATTCTCATAGTTATCTTCTGAATCTTTCTTCAATGCAATGTGATTGATACAGACAGGCATTGATTCATTCTTCAAGTAAGAAGATACATAGATTAATCAGTAGTTGAAAGTAATATGTTCTAATTAGTTACAGTTAATACACACTTCTCATTGACATCAATCAGTGACTTCTTTGAGAGTGATCTCAGAAACTCAGAAGCTTGTTTGAATAGTGAAGATTCTTGCTTGCATGTAAATATTTAAGTTCACTCAATTCATGATATCTGCATTGTCATTCTTCAGTACAGATGTATGAGTGACTGAAGTGTAACATCTTCTATCACTATTCTGTATACTTTTGAGCTTGATAAGATGATCATTCAATGTTCAGAGTTGTATACAGAAACCTTTATAAGTCTGATCTTCATCTACACTTATAAGAGTCTGTAAGAGTTTGAAAGTTAATGTCTTCTTAAGCATATTAATCTTCATTCAGTTCTCTTAAGATTGATTACCTGCTTCTAGAATCTTAGTATTGAAGTCAGAGATGAATATTGTAAGAGAAGTGTTTCTCTGTTAAGTACTTTATAATCAATCTAATGCTTTTTATTGCATAGCAGTGTCTCAGAACAGAACATTAAGATGTTTGATAATATTATCAGATATTCACAACACTGATTCACATACTTTTATTCATGAATGAAACTTCTGTTTCACACAGTCTCTCAACTGTTCATTGACATACTAATCTTGATTAGTTAGTGAACTGATGACATCTTCATCTACACTTAGTTTTATAAGCATTTTCAATCTTCATGATGAGTAGAGAGTGAGATCAGAAGTGTTAAAATATACAGAGATATTTAAGCATTTCTTTAGCATCTGCATTGTATTTATATTTGATTCTATAATGTGAAATGTCTGTGCAGAGGTTTCCTAGTCAAGATAATCATTGAAATTTCTTGTATTAGTGTTGTTAAGTCACATGCATATCAGCTATCTATTACTGTTGTAATTTCAACATTGCTCAGAGCCACTGTGACATTGTATCTATACTCACATTCAAGAATTCTCTCATATTATTATTAGACATGATTATATTAATTGTTGAATATATAATATCTGTGAAATCAGAAGAAGTGCAATTATATGAATATCTTATATATCTGTAATATCAGAACTCTCAGATCTTTCACTGATATTCTCTTTATAAGATCTTACTCTCTTTATAAGATTTTATTACAGAGTCAGAGTGACTGATGAGCAAGCTTCTATTTAAGAACTCAGTGTCTGCTTAACTCTTTAACTATTTCTTTATTTCTTACACATTGTTATATGTTTGAATATCTCAGTGAGTAATCATTTCTAATAAGAAGATGATGAATATTTTTATAGTGTAAGAGATCTACACTGAATAAATCAGTATAATATATAGATCTTATATAACAAAGATAAAAACATTAGAGAAGAAAAGAAAGAGAAAGTGTGAGAATCAGTGATCAGAGTGAATATTTATACACATACACTGTGATGTACACAGTGAAACTTTAGAGCAGAAGAATAGAGGTTTTCATACATGATAAAGCTTCAGAGCAGAAGAATAGAAATTCTGTAGATTTTCAGCTGAGAATCAGTGACTGAGAATTGAAGTGATAGAAATCTGTGAAGTGTAATGAAATAGTCTATATAATTGATCAGGTGCAGCCCGTCACAAATATGTATAATAGTCAGAGAAAGATCTGCAGATTATAAAGAATCTTATAGAATAAGAAATTAAATAATAAACTCTTTTTTTCTTACAGTAATAAGAGATTTTTTCTCACTGAGGTTTTTTTATAGATATAAAGAATTTTTAGTAAGTATTATTACAGTGCTAAGTCTGATTCTATAAAATCACTCAGTGAAAGGTTTTATAGATAAAGTCTTAGAGAGAAAGATATATATAAAAAATCTTACTTTTTACAGATTCTTTACTTCTCTTTGTATCTCTTATATAATTAATAGAGTTACTTGACTATATATAACTATATAAACTTAAGTTTGTAACTACTATTTATAACTTAGCTTGAATACTATTATATATTTAATCTCTACATTTATCTTTCTACTGTGAATACTTCTAGTAGTTATCAGTACATATCATATCAAGCTATAAATATCTGAATAATCACCTGTGAGTAGACTGACTATGTAATCATATTAGAGATCAGAATTAGAATATTTAATACTTTTATTATTAATTTAACTAATCTCATTACACAGTTTTAAGATTAGATAGTTATTATTATTATTATTATTCTTTTATTATACTTATATACAAGCAGAGCTTATGATGAGTTCTTGCATGATGTTAAATACGGGTTAAGTATTAATTATACAAAAGAAAATACAGGTGTTGAGATCACATCAAGATAATAAGAACATAGAAAATACAAAGAAGTGATAATTAAATACACACAATAATAACTTCTCATCTCAGAAACATAGAGTGATTTATTAAAGTGATTTGTACATCTCTGTATTTATTAGAAATCTGAGATGCTTGAGTTCTGAATTTAATGTATTCTCTGCGGGTTTCAAACTCATATACCTTGATTTCTCACATTAAGACACTATTAGATGACTGTATTAATCATTCAGTTATTAGAATAAGATTAGATAGTAGTCTTATACTGTCTCAGTGAGACTTACTGTCTACTCTTATTATATTTTTCAAATAAGATTATGATTTTTACTGCTTAATTTAAACTATTTTTATTACTTTAAATGACTTTAAATCTTATTTAAGTATTATTAAAAACTGTTACTTTTTAAAAAATTAAAAATAGTCTAAAAAAAATCTTAAAATATTTAAAAATAGTAACTTTATATTAAGAATAAGACTAAATGAGATTAAATAAGATCACTTTCTTATTTTTTCTAAGTTATAATTTCATTTTGAGATCTGATATATAGTTACTTTGCATATTTTTTTTAATAATTAGTCTCAGCAGAATTCATATTAAGAAATGTATGAAATCAGATTAAATGAGATTAAATATAAAATTTATAATCTCAGTGATTAGTCTATCTCTGAGCACTTATTCTTATAGTAAGAGTTACTTAATAGTAGATTGAAAAGAAGCTTAGAGATATAAGAAAGACTCAAGAGTAAAAAGAGAAGAAAGAATAAGCTACTGTACAGTAGTAATTACTTATTATTATTATTATTATTATTCTTCCATTATACTCATATGCAAGCAGAGCTTATGATGAGTCCTTGCGTGATGTTAAATACAGATTAAGTGTTGATTATACAGAAGGAAATACAGGTGTTGAAACCATGTCAAGATAACAAGAACATAGGAAAATACAAAGAAGTGACAATTAGATACATGTGATAATAACTTCCCAGCCCAGGAACATAGAGCAATTCATTGAAGCGATTTGTACATCTCTGTATTTATTAGAAACCTGAGGTGCTTGAGTTCCGGATTTAATGTATCCCCTGCGGGTTTCGAACCCACGCGCCTTGGTTTCCCACGCCAAGGTGCTACCGGGTGGCCGCATTAACCATTCGGCCACCGGGGCCAGTAGTAATTACAGTTATATAAGAAAAAAATTAAAGAATTCAAAAATTATCTTTTTAATCAGAAAAGTAAATTCTTGATTTTATAAAAAGTAACTAAATCATGTTTTCAGAGCTCTGTTAAAATGCTTATAAATTCACTGTCAGAGAAATCTGATAATATTACAATTAGACTGACTATCAGAATCATGAATTTCATATTTAATCTTATTTAATTTGATCTTATACATTTCTTGACATGAATCTCACTGAGACTAGTTATTAAAAAAACATACAAAGTGATCATATATAAGATCTTAAAATGAAATCATGACTTGAAAAAAATGAGAAAGTAGTCTCATTTGATCTTATTTAGTCTCATTCTTGACATAAAGTTACTATTTTTAGACATTTTAAGGTTTTTTTTAGACTATTTTTAATTTTTTAAAAAGTAACACTTTTTGATAATGCTTAAATAAGATTTAAAGTCATTTAAAGCAATAAAAATAATTTAAATTGAGAAGTGGAAATTATAATCTTATTTGAAAAATGTAATAAGAGTAGACAGTAAGTCTCACTGAGACAGTATGAAACTACTATCAAATGTTAAAACCATGTAATGGGATTAGTCAAATTGATAATGAGACTATCAAAAAATCTGGTCCTGGTCTCAGACACAGTCACACGGTCAGTCTAATTACAATCTTTATTAACTTAATAACTTCTTACTCACTGAATCTATCTTCATTCAAGATTTTATATTTCAGATAAGTTATTAAGTTAAATAAATATCTACAGAATTAGCTGTATATTTTTATATGTAATTTTCTATATATATTTTCATCATATAATATATCATCTTAAAATCTAATTGTGTTGTTGAGATATCATTGAAAATATTTCATCATAGTAATGGTGAAATGGCGGGTGTTGAGTGTAAGCGGGCGTTGAGTGGTTGATCACGTTATAGTTTCATTCTAAGCTCTGATTTCTAGTCACTTTTCATATTTTTTTTAATGATTAGTTCTGATGAGACTTGCATCAAGAAAGGTATGAGACCAGATCAAATGAGATCAAACATGAAATTTATAATCTCACTGGCTTGCCTACTTACCTCCTTCAAAATCATAAATTATAAACTATGTAAATCAAGCAAAAACAAACACAGGAGAACCATTTCATACAGCGAAAAAAAAAAAGAGCAAATCTCTCATCTACTCCCTCTCCACATCATAATTCTGATGCCACGTATACCCGCCCCGCGGCGCCGCCTCCTTCACCAGCTCCTCGATATACCCCAAGCCATCCCGTGGCGGACGGCCCAGCAGTTCCCCCATAAGCGGGCTCACCATCTCCGCCTCCCCCTGGGCCGCCGCATCCAGCAAAGTACCCCATACCTCGAAGAACTCCGCCGATTTCCCGCCATGGCCCTCCTTGGCGTCCTCGGCCGCCACGAGCGCCGCATACTCTTCCCGCGGGATCTTCTGCAGAGTTACCTTCTTGCCCGTGGCACGCGTGAGGGCCTCGGCGAGATCTGCAAAGGTATAGGCGCGCGGTCCCGTGAGGAGGGCGATGTTGTTGTCGTGGCTATTTTGGAGGAGGGATGGGAGGGTGGCTGGGTCACGCAGCATGAGTTTTGCGTTGGCTTCGCCGAGCTCGGTGCGGGAGGTCCAGGCGATGGCGCAGTCGGTAGGGATGTAGATGGTGGTTGTGTCCGGGTACCAGGAGGCGAAGACGGGGAAGGCGTCTTGCGTAGATGCCTTCGCGGATGGAGGTGTAGGGGATGCCGGATCTGGGGGATGTTAGTAAGGAGTGTATAGGGAAAATGGGGGCGACTAGTACTTTTTCAATTGCTCTTCTGTGATTAAATGAGATGTCTGCACGACGGCCTTTGAATGTGATCCGTAGCCGCCAAATGCGAGGCTGGAGTAGTATACCTATTACAGAACCTCACAGAACAGGTAAGTAAAGCTAAGAATTGTTTTGGAGTAAATTCTATAGATTCTTAGGACCAAGGATGGAATTAATAAAAAAGAAATTCATACATGGCCGACACCAGCCCTCTTCGCCGCCTCGATGACATTTGAATGCTGCTTCGCCCTCCTATCCACGCTTACAACGGGGGTTGA